AGGAAAGGAAAGGAAAGGAAAGGAAAGGAAAGGAAAGGAAAGGAAAGGAAAGGAAAGGAAAGGAAAGGAAAGGAAAGGAAAGGAAAGGAAAGGAACTGTGGTCACTGTGTGGAAGTGGGGATGTGCATGGATTTTAGTGCAGGTGATCATATGAAAAGCTGTGCACTTCACTGGCAGTTTCCCCTGCCTATCTCCATGCTGCCACAGCTAACCTGCTGCTCCAGCCCAGCCTGGCAATGCAGTGACTGCGCTATAGGCTACAGGCTCTGGAAAGGGAAAAATGGCATAGAGATTACTTTCTAGTAACAGTATAAAAACAAGAATGAAGCAGCTTACATTCCTCAGTCACAAACATCATTTCCTTTCAGACCTAAGTAACTGTTTTTTTTGACTTCTGGTTAAAAATACATGATCTTTAATTTTAACTATTGCTACTTAAAGCAAAAGAGGCCAGTAGTAAATCACTGTAACCAAGAAGTTCATTTAGTTCTCTGTAAATACTGATGGGGCTGATGGGGCTTTTGGTACAACAGTCATACAGCTGAATATTTTACCTTCTTCTAGGCCCCCCCGACCTGTAACCAGCATGAACGATACGCTCTTCTCCCACTCTGTTCCCTCAGGAAGTCCTTTTGCAAACCGAAGGTGAGTTCCTATCCTGACTTYATTAACTAACAGATTTGAGCAGAGAAATGCCTCAGTCGTTTTGGACAGACACCCACATATCAGCTTCAGACTGCTTGATGGAGAGGTGAAGTTAGGACACCCCACAGCCCACCCCAGGGTTCAGTGCTCATTTGAACTCCGAAGCCCCATTAAATGTGCTCAGGTGCAACCTAGATGTCTTCCAACAGGGGTGGGAAATGGGCAGTTGGTGAGAAGCCATTTTGCAGCACTGTAGGGATAGAAGCTGGATCCCACATGGCCATTYCTGCTGGGAAGGCCCCTATGGAGCTTTGCAGCACCGAGCGGAGCCTCCTCCGCAGGCCTGCCCACCTGGAGCAGTACAGGCCCAGGGACGTATCGTCAGCCCACGTTCTCCCCTGTATCTCAGGGGAGTTTAGCCTGCTCACTCCTGCAGCCCTGCAGTTTTCAGTGCCTGAGCTAGCCCAGCCAGCACAGCACAACCCAGCCTTGGGTCCTTTACCTGCTCTTAATGCCTAGAAAGAACTGGGAGGGAATGGACTGAAGTTTAGGTCGTATCACAAGTGCAAATGAAATACATATATCACTGAGAGATACTTGGGAGAACTTTGAAGAAAGATTTTTTTGAAGAAAAAAAATCCCCTCAATATATGCTGCACATCTGAATGTGTGTAATTTTTATTTCCATTATGTGCATCCTGATTAAATAAATATGGCCATAACAGCTGGTATGTGATGTGCAGAACATAGGAGAGAGAAAATGTGCTCATTGGTGCTGTCAATCGTCAAGAAGCACACCCAGGAGCAGTCCTCCCTAACCAGGAGAATGATTCAAATTCAGTCCTGAATTTTGTAGTATAATCTAGTGTAGTTTGTTTCAGTACTAAATAAAAATCTTGTGTTAATAAGTTTTGAAGTCTTCGTATGAAATGTATTCATCCTGCAGACCAATTTTGAGAAGTGCCCCTGTGCTTGCCTGCTGTCCTGAAGGTATCAGTATATTGGTTATAAGATCATGTTACAGGTTTCTCCAATGCAATGTAATTGCAGTAGTATTGGTGCTGACTCTTATTTTTTCTGGCCCAGTGATGTATTTTCAACCCTTATTGATACTTGGCAAATAAGATAACCTCAGAAGATAATCATTCAGCCAATGGGGTTTTCCATTTGGGAAGGATTTTAAGATAGCAAGACTTCCTAACTCCAGTTAAACCTCACTTCCATGAAAGACTGCAAGAGAGAAAGAATAGTCGTGGTGTGAGGTGTCCCTTCAGGAAATGAGGTAGCTAAGAGTGGCCAGAGCAGAGAAAAGCTCTTCCTTTTCCCAAAGGAAAGGTGCTCACAGCTAAGTATGTACATTTTGGCTCACACAGCCAACATATGTGTGTGGCATCCACTAACTGTTGCACCCCATCCATGTAAGCCTACACATAGATGAGATGTCAGAAAAATAACTTTTTGCTGTATTGAGGAAGATACATGATATGTCTTCCTGGGTGCATTTTACTGCTTGGTTCCTGCTGTGTGTCCATGCTTAAGTGTTCCCAAATAATCAAGCACAAGCTCTGAGCATGCATGGCTATTTTTAATCCCCATAACAAATGCACAGCATAACGCACTGCAATATCTTTTAAAGAGAGGACATTTTGTACTACTGCTTTGATTTATGGACCTTGCTGGGGGTAATAAACTCTCACTGCCCCAAAGCAGCCCCCACAACTCAATCTGCAGCCTGTATAGACAGCGAGACTGGCRAGTTTGTTGCAGGATACTGGATCCCATGTGCCAGAGCAAGCCAGGAGAACCTCTCATGGTGCCTCCAAGACAGGTCATTAAGAGCAACGTAGACRTAATTGTTATTCCTGTGTGTCCCTAAGGAGATCCTGTGTTCCTTCAGAAAACAATGAATTTAAAAAATAGGTTAGGCACCTACAGCAAGGTTTATAGTAGTACCTACCTTGATATTTGTTTGGTTTTATCTACCTTGCTACTTGTTTGGTTTTGCATATAAAAATATCCTGGCTATGTTATTTCTATGTTCTTTAGCAATTAAAGATACTGTCTTTAACTGTCAGGATTAARTGTAGATAATTCCTGAGCCACAAATACTCCTTTTCTCTGAGAACAAGGGCTGCCTGATGGAGAAACCTTCTAAAGGCAGGAGATACTAGAGAAAAGACTCAGACCGATGGTAGCCAGACTTCCTTATATATGTGTACAGCAAAACATCCTTATAGAGCAAAATGTTTCCGTAGGGCTGTGGTCCATTCTCACCATTTTTAGAGTTGACAGTAYCCTGAGATATAAAACAATGCTCTATATTAAAAGCTATTTTAACTTTTATTTCATCACCCCAGTGGGATTTCAAATATATCACARATCATTCACATTACTTTTATTTTGAACACTCATAAATATAAATTGATTTTTTTTAATGAAAGAAACAGCCAAATCTGTATTCTTCCTCTGTGATTAGAAATTGTATTTATGGTACTGGATGYGGTCTGAACAGGCGACTCGCTGTATTTTCGGGGGTATTAACAAGGTCTCCTTGTTTGACTCATTCAGGTTACTTGGGGGTGTAAATGCAGCCAGTCCTGTGGCTGATGAGCACTCTCTTATAAAGCTGTATGTAAATCAGCTTCACAACAATCCACGGTCAGTATGAGAGCACTAACCCACTAATTGCTGTAGTTCTGTAGCTCACGCACTCAATCATTAGCAATTCTGCTAAACTACTAAGCACATTCCTAAAGGAGGCTCTGATGGGCTAGAGGATTTTCTATGGCTTTAATTAATCTTTTGATTAGGCTTCCTGCCGGCTGCGGGCTTTGCCAACTTCTCTTGCTTTTGCACAGCACAAATCTTTCATTTTACCTTTCCACTTAGGATTACAGTTAATATTATGTATCTGGAGGAAATGGGAAGCATTTTTTYCTTGAAAACCAAAAAGTGCACCTTTCTGTTTTCATTTTTAGTGCACGACTTGCCTGTCCCACCCCTAACAGAGGCAGGAAGGAGGCTCGCACAGCAGCTAGTTGGAAGCCATCCCAGGTCTCGCAGCCTGGTGGCTTCTCTTTTTCCACGGTTCTTGCTGCTGMTGATTACCATTCTGCAGCTTGCCCCACTTGCCAGCAGCCTGCCCAACACCACGCTCATTTGCTTTCCCAAATAGCCACAGCTAGGAGTAAATCCTACTAAAGCCAATGAAGGTTTGCCATTAACTTAGGGAGTCTGGAATATGGTTATCTTGTCCTTTTCCCCCAATCTGTCTCGTCTTAGTGATCTAAAATCTCCTATTTCATTTTGCATAAAAGATGTGTGCAGTAGGATGARAACAGCTCCCTCCTTTTGTGTGTGTGTGTGAAGTGTAATGACATTTCTTTTTTTTCATTAGTCCTTGAACAGTTCCTGTAATTTAGTATGTACAGAGACCAAGGTACTTTCCTCCTAAATATCAACTTCTTCAATCTATATTAGGCTAATAATAAAATCTTCATTCATTCTTGTAGGATTTACTATTATTATTACCCTGGGAAAATCAGGCCTCATTATTGGAAGCCCACTTTTATATATATATATATATATATATATATATATATAGGATCATATATTGTAGAAACAGACTTGACAGCTCTGTTTGTAGTTCTGCTGATTTTATGTTAAATGTTCCATGATTCATGTTTAGATAAAAATTACACAATCTGAGAGTAAAATGTCTAGCTGAACACAAGCAACACTAGCAGCTCTACAGGCTGAGTTTTTCACTGCAGACGATGTGTGCTGCAATCGAGTTCAGAGGTTCCAGGGAGCTTCAAAGACAGATTTTGTGCAATTAAAATGTTTGTATGAACAGAATCGGCACAGGAGGGATCACTTGCTGCATGTTCAAGGTATTTATTTCTGAGAGTCTGGTCCCCACAAGATCCCGACCATTTGCAGTTTCCCCGTGTAGCAGGAATTGCTGCCTTCAGCACACCGAGCCACCCTGCTGCTGGAGACGATGCGGTACTGTAAGCTCAGCAAAATACTATCTTTTTTTCTAGATTCTTCAATGAAAAGGGAATCAAACTGGGGGAAAAAAAAAAGATTCTCGTTAAAGAGCTTTGGTAACCAGTGAAAAATGACAACAGATTGTGGGGAGCAGCTGAAAGGGGGTTGGACATTATATGTTATTTGCACTTTAGCTGAGTTGGAAGCACCAATTTAGGGTAGATGCATAGTTGTGCAAAGTTCAAAGGAGATCAGATCCAGTCTTTCCCTGAGATGCCTCTAGGTATCTACTTGCCTACTTCAAAAGCACAGTCCCTTTACAATTTCTCAGCTTGCTTTTCTTAGTTTCAGGCACCATGTCTGTAAGAGATCTTCTGCTAGGAGATTGCCAGAGTAGTTACAAATATTTCTAAATGTATACAGTGTGCAAATTGGTATCAACAAGAAGTTAGACCTAACTAGGTCCTTTACTTCCCTCTGTATAGCTCAAAAACAACTTCAAGGTATTTTATGTATATAGGAAAAAAAAATCTTCTCCCTAATCTCATTTCATTATCATCTGCTGGGCTGGCAGCTTATATATAACTAAAACCACAAGTCCTGTATTTTTTTTTATTGTACCTAATATTCAGTTTTCAGTCTTGCTTGTTTTTGTGATCTCTGTTTATCTAGAGGGCAGCAGAATAGGAGAATATTACTACAGCGTAGGTAAGGCCTTACAAACTCAATGTGCTGGATATGCTACATCAAAACAAGTGAATTGAGCCTTGAAGAAAACTGCTATCCAGTCAAAAAGGAAAACTACCCCCTGCTGAATTAACTTTTTTTTTCCCTTTATTTGGATCCCTTTGTTCTCCAGTTGCAGTCTGTGAAGCTCCTTTTAGGCTACCATAGCAGAGGCTAAAACCTCTTTCTCTCTCTTCGTAAATCCCTTTAAACCATCTTATCATAGGGTTCATGGTGGGATAAAATAAAACAAGGTTTTTACCTGCATTTTTCTAAGCACCCTCCATAGCCAATAAATTTAGTTCTTCTGAAGAAGGAATAAACTGGAATGAACAGAGTGATACAGCATCTTCTGATGTCTTTTAAGAATGTAGTAGACTTGCATGTGGTCTTTGTAGGTTATTTTCTCAACAAAATGAGAATCCTCTGTATTTTAGTGGCAAGCATTTTGCCTRCTAATGGAAAGGTCTATACATCTGATTTTGGTAGCTAGGTAGACTCTAAAGAGGGTACAAGGTTTACATTGGTAYTGTTAGATCTACATCTTTGTAGACATCTGCTCAGAACTGGTGGGTTTGTCTATTATTTTGATTGAGAAATTATTCTTTGGCAGCTCATTTTAACAGGATTGTATCTTAAAAAGATATGTTGTGGTTAGCAGAACTCAGAGAATTTCACTGTGGTTTGAAAATATAAGTCATTATCCAAAGCAATCTCTGAATCATTAGCTATAATTTGGGGGATTTATGGGGGATGTAGGAGGTAGGAAGGATGGTTAAAAGCAGAAACAAGGACAAAGATCTGAGAGATTATACAACTGGCAGCCTAACCTTGATATCCAAAGATACTGAAATTCTGAAACAATTAGCACCTGAAGGATAATAAGCCAAGGAGAAATAGCTAATGTGGATTTGTCAAGAATAAATTATGTCAAACCAACCTAATTCCTGTCATTGGCAGAATGACTGGTCCACTGGGTAAAAAAGAAAGAGCAGCTGCTAAGTATCTTGACCTTAAAAAGACTTTGGACATAGTCCCAGATGACACTTTCAGATGTACCCGAAGGAAATGTGGACTAGGATAAATTAGCATGAGGTCAATGAACAAGTGTTTGAAAATCAGTAATTAATTTTTTGGTAGCTCACTGTCAGTCTTACTAGAAATACTGTAGAAGAGTACCTTGCTGTCATGGTGAATCAGGAATTAATTCAAGTTCGCACCAAGATTGTTAGATTGAGTCTGAATCTGGGGTCAAGTGACAAGTTCTTGTCCACGTTAGAATGAGGAGGCATCTGCCCAGATCCAGCATGAGGCTCAGTCCTGCAGCAGAGTGAGAGAGGCCACAGACCAAACCTCAAAAAACTTTAGAAAATATTACTGCTTAGAAAAGGCTGAGAGATCTAAAGTTCAATTAAGCTACTAAGAAGGAAGAGGAAACAAGACACAATAACAACTGCCCAAGAGGCAAAGTCTTCCCACCCTACCCAATTTATTTCTAGGTTATGGGGGAGCAGAACTTACAGCTGATAGGGCACCATCACACTGCAGTTTTTGAAAGCAAAGCACAAAATCTGCACTRAGTCTCCAGATTTCACTTTACTTTTACTTTACTTTTTTACTTCACTTTACTTTTTTACTTTACTACCTTTACTTAAGAGCTGAGCACTGYAATTTTAGCTACTATGGCATACAGTGCCCCTTTCTTTTCTCTAACTAGGAAGAAAATACAGTGAAAAAAATGTACATGACATGGAGCRTGTTTATCTGTGTGCATGATGCTTCTAGAGAAGTCGGACACACAGAGCATCACGGTGGACATCATAGAAATGAGGTGGTATCATTCATAYTTCTGTAGAAAAGAGCTCAGTGCAGCATCTGCMCAYACACACACASAGRGACCCGTGTGAACACACATCTAAGTGCACAGGCACATGCATCCCACACACTGGTTTGTCTAATCAAAGCTATTTACAGTAGCAGTGGCCAGGCCAAAAAATAAAAGTGAATCATTTTTAAAAAGAGGAATATATTCTAAAAAGAAGACCAAAACAAAAAATGCTGTAGCGTGAAAGAAAAACTAACAATTTAATCTCTCTGTTTTGAGTCAGTTATCTTAAAAATGATTAAATAAGTACTTTAATAGTGAGAAATAAGCAGTTACTGTAATCCATTAAATACTGTAATTACAAAAAACAAGAGACACTGTGAAATCACAAAAGAAAAGTCTGACATGACAGATGATGAAAAATGTGGGGTTTTTTTTGATTTACCAAAATACAATGCTTTCTCAAAATTAAATTGGTGTAATCTATCATTGCGTGTAAATAAGTACATTTCCATAGATTATAGAAGTGATCATATGGCAAATACAGAGAAAAGCTGCTCAGCTGCTCAGATGAAGCTTCTGCAGCTTGAAAGCTGCATTTCAGATATCAGTTACCCCAGACTCCACCTGGAGACTTCGTAAGCCTTCAGCTTTCCATTAGGAAGAGAAACACATTTTGGTTTGCCTTTGTTATAGGGAAGCCTTTTTAGTTTTCTTCTGGAGAACAAGAAAACCCAAATTCACAATTTTGCATTTTCTGAAGGTTTCTATAATTTTTGTGAAGCTTTATTTTGTTTTTCCATGGTGCCAGGCTTTTGAATGAGTTTCTCCAACCTCTGTTGTGTAATATATTTCCAGCCTCTCTGTTTACCCTCTTCTAAGTTTACCTGTCTTATTAACTAGCTCTCCTTACAAGAATACTGAAGTAGAGCAGAGCAAACTGCTGGCTAGGGCTGCTCCAGCTTTCTTGAAAGGCAAAGGGTAAGTTAAAGAGAGAGTATGCACCCAGCTTGCACTAACACAGCTAAACAAAACCTTTTCCTCCTTTTCCCTGCTTTTAATATATCCTATAAACATCTTTCCCGAAAAAAAAATCAGAATAACCAATTAACTAACTGCGCTAAGTAAGGCATGTTTAAATATATTTATGTATACCTGGATGTGTGAGGTCTTCGTCAAACGCTTCTGAGAAAATCTAACTTAGGCTTTCAGTATGTTAATCATCTATGTAAGGGATGTATATTTAGTGTAAGTACACTATATATAAATAATATATTAAAGCAAAAACAACTGACCTCACAAGCTGGGTTTTTTTTTAAAAAAAAAAAAAAAGATTTTATACAACTCCAGTCCATGGCCTGCTCTTGCATTTCATTGGTATCAGTGGCTGGCTCCGTAACTGAGTTGGATTCTACCATCCTAAGCCATTATTTAATATATAAATTGCAATAGTAGCAAAATAATTTCTTGTACGTGGTATTTTTTTCTACGAACACTTAATGATTCGCTCCTAAAATCCCGTTTCACAGTCTTACTTGCTCCTGCTTTCTCTGTTTATTTCTCCTGTGTCTGTCCGGACTGCCCCGTCTGTCCCCCAACCCCGTTCCAGGTTACAGTACAGGCTCGATGTTGCAGACAGGCTGGCCGATGAACATGTACTCATCGGGTTGTATGTCAACATGCTCCAGAGCAACCCCGCACGGTTAGTGCAGGTTTGGCACCTTTGGGGAACCCAGCAGAGGGACGTTGGTCGGCCAAATTCACCCACTTTTTCCTCGTGGCTTCAAGCTGCAGCAGCTCCTTAGGAGCATTACCCTAAAGGGAACGTGTATGCATATGGGGTATGTTCTCCCACATTTGGTGGATTGTGGCCATTGCTCGTACTCTTTCTAGTGATGTTAAGGAGCCAAGTAATGTGAATAACTGCTTAATTAAGAATGACCATGCAAGCTGATTGGGGATACTGTGCACTAGTCAGTACAAAGTCTTCATATAGCGAGGACTAGCAAACCCACCTTTTCAAGTAATTCATTTCTRAGGTGATTTTTGATACATAGTTTGTAGGTAACTAACGTGACCTTGCAAGTAAGAAGTGGTAATAGTATGCAAATAATGAGAATAACAGTAACAGGAAATTATTTATTGGGTCAGTGAAGAAAGGAGTTCATTYTACTTATTTTACTTACGTCAGGCAGTGTTTTTAAGTGACTTATGAATTGTTGAAATCTATACATAAATCTATACGTAAATCTATTTCCCGATACCTTTCGTTTGGCCTCAGGGATGACAGTTCTGAGAGTAGGTGCCTTGAACATAGCTGATGATTTCTGCCAGAGAAAACCCAGAATTTTATCTACTGATCAGACCCGCAGCACCAGCGCCTGCAGGTGATGGCCTGGTGGTGTGGCCCTGTGCCCCATGCTCTAGGTGACCCTGCGTGTGCAGGGGGCTTGGACTAGATGACCTCTGGAGGTCCCTCCCAACCTTGAACAGTCTGTGATTTTATGATTCTATGAAATGCAAGTGGAAGGAGAACCTCTACCCGTCAGGCCTGCTCCTGCAGAGAGATGGTGAGAGGTGTCCTGCATGGCCCTGGAAGGCCACACACAGTGCAATGCTTGTGGTGAAACTGCAGCCGGGATGGTTTTTGGCCATAAGGAACCCTCCGGCTTTCCCTGMCGCCGTGACAGTGTATTTCCCAGGTTAGGCTCTTCTACATGYAAAAGGCCAACTTCTGGGAGTTTTGCAAAATCCACTTTCTGCAGTTTTGCAAAATCCACTTCTGCACGTAGCTGCAGATGAAAGTGAGGGCAAGTTGGGTTGTAACTATGCACAGAGGAGAAAAGAGGCTGTTCTTGTTGAGCATCTCCCTCTCTCCTCTGTGTCCCACTGGAATCTGCCAGTAGGGAAAAAAAAAATAGTTTGTAGCAAGAAAAATGAAAATWAAAAAAAAATGAAATCATTTTGAAGGGGAATTTCATTCTTCCTGAAGCACTACCAGGAAGCAGGTTTCTTTAGTAGCATTTACATTGTAGCTGTGAAAACAAGCAGACKAGGCCTATGTTTAGATCAGTGCCCAGTCATGACTGAAGAGGACAGGAAACCACAACCCCTAGGTCAGGTAGGACGGGAAGAAGAAAATGTGGCCTTGCCTACTCAGTCCATATGGTTGTTCAGAGGTCCACAAAGACCTGGTTTAGAGGTGTTTTCCGATGCAGGTTTACCTCTGTCATGTCCAGGATTCCTTTAACTTCYGACAGGAGCACCAGTTGGTTCCCTCTGTGAGTGAGATCCTCATCTTTACTGCCTTCATTCTCAAAATTTTCTCAAAAATTGTTCAACCGGTTCCTTCACATTTTAGACCAACTCATAGTACATTGATATCTGTGTATGCATGCACAAATTACGCGACATAACATCTTTCAAATTTAATATATCTGACGGATGAATGGAGAATGGCTGATAATGGCCTTAATTGCTTAAATAGCTGATGCAAAGTACAGTACATAACRTCTGATTACTGACATTAAATCACTGCAGTCACAACATCCTCAATTWAAAGCAGTCTCAGTCATTTATATGAGATACCAATTAGATTTTGACAGAAACTTAACTGAGGGGGACAGCAGTGTTACTCATGCATCGAATTGCTCYGTTGCCTGCTGCTCTGCTGCAGTGAGGGGGACAGCAGAGTAAGGGGGTAGTTACATTTTGGGTCAGAATCCTTTCCTCTCTCCCTGCAAAACACCACGTATATACAGGCATGAGAGTCAAGGCATATTCCCAAGCAGCGCTAGCAATTCAGGTATGAGAAACACAGAGGCTGTAGCTGGACCTTCAGCTAAAAGGAAAATTTACAAAAATCTGTTGTGAGCATAATACATAGAAGTACCTTGACAGCCACAAAGTGACATCTCAAAAAAAAAAAAAAAAAAAAAAGTAATATTTTAGTAGTTACTGAATCAGCTTAATTTATGTTAGGTAATGATCAACCCGATATTGTCCAATTGTCCGTGGTGTCTTTTATCTTTTTTTTTTTTTCTATTTTAGGTGTTCCTTGTATTTAAATATGATTAAGTTGTTAGTTAATTTTCAATGATTATTTTTCATTTGCAGTTAGTTGATACTAAAACAAGCAGTTTTGGAAGTCTTGTYTGCCATCCATTACAGGCTAATAAGCTTTTAGACTTTAATACTGCAGATGAAATTTAGAAGCAAGAAGATAACTACTTCATTATTTATAGTAACCGTATGATTTTTAAAAAGTTACACTAATCCACATGCTTTGGTTGTTCTAATATTTATTTTATCATAGGAGACCCATATTGATATTTAATTTAGTTTAGTTTTAGTATCTGTCATTTGAGAAGGCTCTTTTTAATTGCAATTTGATTTCATTCATTTATGTTAGACACTTTATTTAGCTTTCAATATTAATTTTGCATATTTCATTTTTGTTCTTTTCAGCAGCAAAAATACATGAGACAAATAATAGGGTATTTTCATCCAATAGAAAGTTGATTTCTGATTTTTGGAGACATCATAGTATACCATGAAGAACTGGACTGAGTCATTTTTTGTACTATAAAGGTGCTGTGCTATTGCATGTTATTTCATCAGATACCAATCTTTTAGGGGAGAATGCATCATAGRTAAGTTAGAGAGGAAGGCAGCTCTGTCTTTGAACTAGCTGGTAACTTTTTTTGTGGGTTAGCTTAGAGTTGAAGTCTAAGTGCTTCRAAACACCTTAGACTTTTATTCTGAACCTCCCCTTGAGAGAGGAAAAGAATTCAAAGTAAACTACAGAGGAGCATCCAAACAATTTAAACATCACAGGTAAACCATCTTGAGAGTGCATTTGACAGGTTGACATAGTTTCAACATGGTACTTACAGCCTTATGTTTAGAGGCTACCCTTTATTTAGTCAATATTTTTCATAATAAATTCCCGCTAACTTATTACGTATTTATTAGTTAAGTGAAACCTTGAATTCTGTAGCAAAGAGCATATCAAGAAGATCACATAGCTTAATTTTATGAAAAAAATGGCATTTCAGTGGTTTTTCTGAACAGTGCTGACATAATTTTAAGAACATCACGGGACAGCAGTGCAAGGCACCTATTGCACAGGAGAGGCTAGTTTGACACACATAAAGAATGAGAAATTTCTGTGATCCTCTGGCACTCCTCCTCTCTTCACAGGCTGTCAAATTTTTGGTTCTTTGCCTGGAGCTTTAAGATCATATTTTATTCCTTTGAACTGCAAAATATTACACAGTTCAACTACAGCCTAAAAAAAGGAAGCCTTATATCCTATTGTACATGCAAGATTATTGGCAATCTACTCTGCGTGTGAGTTATAAAAATCCTGCCGGAGTTGTTATTGGCCATGATTGTAACGTCTTTAAAGAAATGGTCGCCAGTGGAGAAGCAGTGTTGAAAAAAATGTTTAACATTCAGAAAGAAAAAACCATCAGGAGCAGGATMCTTAAGCACTTTGATTGTGAAATGGAGAATTTCTTTAGAAATGGTGCCCTCTTTTGAGGGTTGGAAATCCTTCACATGTGTTTGTAGTATCTTAAAGCATGCGAGTATTTCACTTCATGTGTCCGTAAAGATACTGAAGTAAAACAGAAGTAAATTATAGCAAGCCAGAGCTCTGAGACATAAAAATTTTGGCATCCAAGGCAGTTCAAGACATTGCAGTCTGATATCCARACCTTGGGTAACCAAATTCAACACACTGAAATAGAGGTAGATATATTTTATGGTATTCACCTACACATAGATGTGTATCAAAGGCATTAGACAGTACATACAGGGATCATAGGAATCATCTGTGGTTTCATTCATGCACTAAGATCATTATTCTGAGGCTTAACTCAAATGTCACAACCATGTTGCAGATTGCTGTTATGCCAACAAGTGGGCCATAATCCATTACTTCTCCAGGGTGGATAATATGGTTGCACATTGCTGTACAAATGGGAACTGATGCTGAGTGCTTGCTGTTTCACAGACATCTGTTAGGATGTGATGACTTAGCCATTATGGAAAAAATGAAAATGAATTCTATTGCAATGAAATTAATCCTTATTGCCTGATTTTCATAATTTTAGATGTCTAAGAGTTACTTCTCTTTCTCACCTCATATCAGGCTGGTAGGTTGGGGTATGTAAGAAGTCCAGCTGTTTATTCAAAAAGTTTGGGAAACCACTTTTAGGTTGAGTCTTTCCAGAAAGTATGTTGTCTTCCTACCAGAGTCTGAGGAAGAGTAGAATTGAGTAATGAAGTTATGCATAAGTAAGGCTAAAAATGTAGTGCTTCTGTAGCACCTGAAGCCCTGTGCAGAACCTGCCTCACAAGCCTGGCTTACAGTGCAGAACCTGCCTCACAAGCCTGGCTTACAACAAAGGCCACTGTGCCTGATGTCTCCTAGTTTTGGAAACTTCATGTTTGTGGTCTCACAGGTTGTTGGTAGAGTGAGAAGATTAATTTGTCTCTTCCATTACCTCAGCAAGTCGTAACTCCCAAGCTTAGTTTAATCATCAGTGAATATTAAGCACTGCTTGTCTTTCATATACAACTTCCAAATCCCATCAGAATTAATCAAGCCAGGCAAAAGCTGCACACAGCAGCTCCTTGAGGTTCCTGAGGATATGAACTCTCTGAGAAATGTGAAGAAATGCATTCTTTTTTTTTCCCATTGAAAGATGCTGATTCTTCAAAAGCAGGGCTTTGTACACAAAAGTACTTTTCAGTGCTGTTTTCATCTGGAAGGTTTCTGGGGTTCAAGACATGACTTCTGGCAAAGCTTAGAATCTAAGATGCCCAAGTCCAAAATAGCCCTTGTTTTGTGCTCTCCTTTGAGATATGAACTTAGTTCTGCAGCCACCAGGCGCCTGCCCTAATCAGCACGTGGCCATGGAGGCCTGTTTCTGTCGCCCTCCAGCCAAAACATCCAAACATTTTGAAGAAAAGAGGTCAGACTCACCTCTSTCTGGGATAGTCTGCCATGGTGTCCTATATTCCAAAGAGTAAAGCACCCTTCTCATCACCCAATCTCCTATTAGGGATTTCTTTTTTTTTCTTTTGTATGTACTAGAAGTACTGCAATATGGGATTCTAAAGATGCTACCTAGGGCTGAGTAAGTCTTAATACTCTTTTTTTTTAACTTTTTACTAGTTTTGGTAGTTCTTTGCAAACTTATAARTGTTTAGAAATAGTACAGGTTCCCACTTCATTATCTCTTCCCTACTAATTTGACAAAAAATAACCTCCATTTATTATAAAGGTGGCTGGCAAAGGTTTAACCCATAAGAAGTGTTGCCTCTGCTCTCTTAGAAAAAAAAAAGCAATTAATTGAAGTGTTTTAAAGCAATTGAGCATATTTCATGTAAGTTCTTACTTTTATTAGTATGTTTTTATTGAGATTCTACACATGATGAAAGCAGATTCCCTCCATAGATGTCAGTGTATGGTAGCAGATCTTCGCATCCTGACAGCATGAGAGGGCTCCAATTTAAAATCAGTAAGAAGATTGTGGTCACTGGTGTGCCATTTGGTGTTTCTCTGAAATCTTTACTCGTAAATATCAAGAAAGCAAGAGTAAAAGAGAAAGTCTGGTTAAAAATTCACAGAACAGTGGTTCTAAACCTGTGATCCACTAGCCTTTGGTAAGTGCCTCACACAATCGTCCTAAACTTGTTTTCTGATACAAATTTGACAAACCTTCTGGTTTTGACAATAAGAAATGCTGAAGTTCACAATAAGCTGTTTTCCAAAAAGCAGACAAAAGCAAGAAGTAAAATCAAGTGCTGGAGTAAAATGCTGAACACATCCCTGTGTGGACAGGGGAGCCAGGGGGCTGGTTGCATCCCGCCTGGCTCTGCCTGGGGCTCACAGGCTGCTGCTCTTTCCCTCTAAGGGAAGATGCTGCCTGGCCCCTAGAGTTGGCCCTACCAGAGAAATTCCCTGCCCACTTCTCCCCTTTGCTCAGTTAACACCAAGCATCTTGGCGATATTTTTCTTCTAAATTCTGCACGAAGGGTGTATGAATAGACATTATGGTGAAGCAGTGGTCGTTTTTACTGTGCATTAACATACTTTTCCTGCTTCCCACCCTGACACTGCCAGCATGCTCGACAGCGCAAGTCGTCTGGATGAAGAGCACAAGCTGATCGCCAGGTATGCAGCAAGGCTGGCAGCAGAAGCTTCTTCATCAGTAAGTGTTTTAATTAAAGGCAGATACTTTCCTTTTGTCTCATTTCAGGGGCTTGACAAGATCAGGAAAATTATAGCTGACAACCCTGGTTTTTYGTGGAATATTTTCTCTATCTTTTGCATCAGGTTCTCTTATGCTTTACGACTAATACTTCCATGCAGGTCATTTAAACCAAAGTATTCCACGTACTAATGTATATCACCTACATACTAATGTAAAGGTATTTAAACAATTACACAAGAGGGAATCTGACATCTTAAACTCAAGCAAGACTGGAAAATGTTGACTCGACTAGCTTTGGTTAAAGGTTAATAATGTAATGCAGCAAAAAAAAAAAAAGTTATGGAGCATCCATTTTACTCTTTAGTTCAAATATCACTGCCACTAGGGTCCTAAGTGCTGAGGATTTTAAATAATGATCTTCAACAGGGTGACTGTAATGACCCTCTGCATTAGCTGTGCCTCCCATTTTCATTTCAGAGCAATGATTATTCTCCTCTTTGTATCCCAAGATAGAAGGCAGTGACAGGCTAAACCCTTGCTAACTATATTCAGAAATAAAAGAGAATGAAGCAGGAACATAATTGAAGTATATAAAATCTTAAATGACATAAATAAGGTCAGCCTAGTAACTTTTTTTCTGTCTCGGCACACTTGATAGAAGGAACTGTAAATGATAGCTAAGTGAAACACAGCCAGTCGGTCTGGAGTGTCGGGAAGCATATTTCCACAGTGAGGTTTGCACTGTGGGGTCAGCTGAAAGGGCAAAACTGGGCAACTCTGTGCATGTAAAAACATGAGTCCCATTCGCCCCACGTGAAGTCAGTGAGGATGAATCTGCCCCCCAGCGCAGCCCTCTGCCCTGCAAGATTTCACACTATGTGCAGCAATGGGAGCAGCATGCAGAGCACAGATTCTGATGATCTTTCAGCCCCTCTTAACTCAACCCCTCTCAGAACTGTGACAGAGCACATCTCAGAATTGAGGCAACCTACATGTGCTGGTTTTGCCATGGAAGGACTGCAATTCCTTATGGAACATAAATGTCCTATTACAAAAGTCTCTAAGTAGAAACTGCGGTGTCCAAGGTACCTAACATATTAGGTATCCTCTGATATGTGGGGGAACTTAGGACATAGTATTTAAGCAAATTTTAAATAGACCTATTTTGAGTAATGTTTTGAATTTATCTTTGCCATCCAGGTACTCATTTTTCTGTACGTCTCAAATGAAACAGACAAAATAAGAAGTGAAGGTTTCAGTGTAGAGAAATCTTTCAGGAGCACACACAAGTGGTATCACAGTTTCTGAAAGCCCCATTAATGTGTGGAAATTTTGCAAGCTTTTYTGGCAGCCATTCTGTTTCTCAAGGAACAAAATGTGTTAATAACATTGAGCCTTTGGGATAAAGATCCTGCCTTCCTCTGAATCCATTGTTACATCTGTTGACTTGCATCAGTTTTTCTTTTTTTATGGTCTCTTCCTTGATGGCCAGAATGTTAAAGAGAAAATGTACAGGGAGCAGAAAAACTAGTAAGTGATTACAGACAGCCATTTTCTTAGTCYTGCATAGTCTTAGTACTAACCAAGTTCTGAAAATGACTAGTCTGACATTTTCAGACTAGAAAATGCCACTTGAAGGAGGGGCACCTCCTTCAAGGTGTTGCTTTCAAGGAAGGGAATCACTTAAAATTTGGCTCCAAGTTAGCACTTTACAGTCTTCTGAAAGACAGAAATACTCCTTTTTTTCGTCAGGTCATGGTAATAACTCAGCAGAATATTCTTTAATTTTCTGATTCTTCAATGTTAGCATTAAGAATATATGGACATTGTTAATAGTTATGAAACTCTTAAATGTCTTTTGAAGTCTGGAACTGCACTGTCATTGTAAAATGCTGAAATATGGGAGTATGAGCAAACAAACCAATATTTTATTGTTGATAAACATGACAAAAAAGAATAGTCTACTTCAGTAGAGCTGCAGTGAGTTCTGCCTAGAAGTAATTTAATTCCCACTTCACTTTATTGAAAAAAAAAAAAAGTTTTGTTGTGCCTTAAGGACTGGAGAAAGAGCTATTTTGAAAGTATCATCAGGGAGTATAAGAGAATTTGTATGTGTTGACTAACCAAATCTAAATGGTAAAGCTTTCCGACTGAAAGTGCAGCCATGTTTTCAAGAGAAGGAAGAGTCGCCAAAAGGGAAGAATCTCTTTTTGATGAGAGAAGAAGAAAAGAGAGAAGCTTTTGCTTCAGTGTTCCCCTATTGTCTGCAGTAATCCAGGTTAAGAGCCGTGTTACAGCAATTGCAGGCACGGTGCCCTTGCCTCGGAGTGCAGACAGATGGGATAGACACTTCTACAGTTGGTTCATTGAAAGTTCCTYGAGGCAGCAATGAATGACAGGATGRTAAACACATCCTTATTTACTCTAGCATTTATACTGCTCTTACCAGTAATGGAGCAGTATGTGTAGAAGGCACAACATGGATGATGTTTATTTTTTTTCAATTTACGGAAGACTGGTATTGTGTTTTCTGCAAGCAAATTTCATGGAACAGTTTTCAGATGAACTCCTAGGTGTATGCTAGTTATTCCTTTCTCAGTGCAGCCTTCTCTTTCACAACAGCAGCAGCAGGGACAGCAGAGAGGAGCCTCAGATATCTCCTTCACCATTGATGCAAATAAGCAACAAAGGCAGCTGATTGCAGAGCTTGAGAACAAAAACCGGTAAGCATCCACAGAGTGCCTGCTTTAATCAGGACCTTATATTGCCTGTGTTTATCTGTTTCCTAACACTTTTTTGTCTCCAGCATCTATACAGTTTACATGTGTACACACACATCTTTATGCCTCCCACAATAATAGGGCCTGAAAATAGCCACAGTATAAGGCTTTAAAACCCATAGGCATCTGAGAGAAAAAATGTGGATTTTTTTTTCAAAAAACATTAGCAGTGAATTAGGCTGCTGATTGAGTCAAAAACTAGATACAAATGTAACTGACTGTAGGAGTGTTTGGGAGAAAAAGCCTGGCTACCCAAAAAAGGAGATCAGCATCATTGTAGATCAACAGCTTCATTGGTGTCTGTGGAGTGACACCCATTTGTAATCAGCAGAGGATCTGGCCTTAGGTCTCTGGCTGCCTAATGCCATGAACTATATGAGAACAAAGCTCTGTTTTTACTGCTGGACTGTGAAATACAGGACAACCCAACCAGCTGGTTTCCTTTTCCTAAGTGCACTGCCTTCTGTCACTGTAATGATCAACCACCAAATCTCTTGATTTGTCTTTATAGTTTGAGTCTCCCTCCTAACCATCATCCAATGCATTCTGAAGAAGAGGGGGAAGAAAACCCACAAAGGTTTCAACCGTCCTCTGTGAAGCCTTACACTATAGTTCTGACGACACTCGTGTTGGGAATTCAGTCATAACAAGCCTTATTAAAGTACTTCTTCATGAKTTGCTGACCACTGCCAAATCTACAATTAAGCTGAGATTTCTTTTCAGTGCAAAATAATTTTTTCTGATGCTGAAGATGGTCTGGATATTATTCAAGTTTTTGTGTGGTGCTTGAAATATTCTTGGGAAAGAATTAGAATTATGGAGTTGTTTAACTAAACATATAGCTATTTGATGTCCCACTCTGATGTTGGGGGTCATGAAGAAATGTTTCCCTTTTATAGTTTACATTAAAAATATCCAGAAACCTGCCACAGTGTTCAGAATTTTTTACAGTCTTTATATGCATGAAGAGCTGCTTACTTTTCCTCCTCCTGCAACCTGCACAAAGCTGGTTTCATGGAAGAAGTGAACTGACTTGTAGTCTTCTTATTGTTCTCTTCCCCAAGAGAAATCCTTCAGGAGATCCAGAGACTGCGACTTGAACATGAGCAGGCATCTCAGCCCACCCCAGAGAAGGCYCAGCAAAATCCCACTCTCCTTGCAGAGCTCCGGCTCCTCAGGTAAGTGCAGAGCAGTAACACTGGCAGAAATTACTGGGGCCAGACGCTGAAGAGTAGGAGAAGAAGTATGAGACAGCCCTGACCTAAAGTCTGGGGGCTTTCTAAGTAAATAGAATAATGGGGGCTTTCTAAGTAAATAGAATAATTTTTTTCCCCATTTCAGTGTGGGCGGTAGTCATGAAAACAACTAAGCTTATGCTTTAAACAGCATGCATGAGGAATCTCACGTATGACTCATCTGCATTAAATTAAGTATGTGCATTAGTGTTTGCAGAGTTAGAGCCACAGGTCATTTGGAATAGGTCCCTACTGCCACGTCCAAATCTCATGAATTATGCAGGGAAAAAACTGTTATTCTCTCATAGCAAATGCTTCTACAAAGACTTCTCAGTTTTACTAAAGTACATCCAGAGTTACGTGAAAATATATCCAGAATTAGACATTAAATTTTTGGATCCCGCATGTGTTGAAGTCAGTCTTTTTCACCATGAAAAAATGGGCTCCAGGTTTACCCTCCRTGTCATGTCAGAAGTGAGGAATAATACCATTTAGAGGATTGTTTCTTTAATTGTGCCACCAAGCTAAAAACATCAATATGTGTGTGGGCATGTTAATTAGGATACTYTAAATAGATACACTAATTGCCATGTATACTGCATTGAGAGAAAACAATTGTTGTTGGCCCAGATCTCTAGCCTAGACTGAGTATCCAGTAAGAACCATTCAAAAAACTTTGCATGTATCAAGAATAAAGTATAAATACTTTCTTCCTAGTTAAATAATGGTTATTTTTATCCCTTCAGGCAGCAGTTTTTCTCATGAGAAAACGAAAGATTTTTTTTGGCCAAATAGCTGCTGCTTTCTCTCACATGTAGTATTTCAGCTGGCTAAGTCATAACTGAAGGAAAGTGCTGTAAGAAAATGTGGTAAAGTCTTTCCTTACAAATACTACATGGTTTTACTGTTGAGTTTTGCATGCTCTAAAATATTTCACTTTTTCTCAAATATTTACTTTTGCTATCCAGTCTGAAACCAAATTAATTTCTTCCTTTATATGAGCACTTTTTTKGGGTATGTAATTAAGCCCAGATATCTAAAAGCAAGTGACATTCTATGAGAACTGAAAAAAATAAAACCAAATGTGCTCAAAATGCACACTCTGCACAAAATATACTACTAGTTCGTTCCGTGCATCAAGCCTAAAGTCTATTTTAAGCAGGTTTGGGAGATTGCTTTTCTATATAGTTGAAAAATAAATATATTTTCCCTAAAAAATCAAATGATTGTGCAGTGTTAGTTGTTTAACTACTTAAATTGCCCTTCTTTGAAGTTGCTGCACATCTTAAAGCTATAATAACCTTATTTAAATTTACTAACATAGGATGTCCCCAGGGTACTGATGTTGAGTTCCTCAATTACAGAGTCTTTTCTGATTTAATATGCAGTGTCAGACACAGCAAAAAACTTTTAATCTGTGGATTTGTACTGCTTTGCATACCACCCAGGTTGTTCACCAGTTGAAAGCTAAGATTTACTGTGAAATTTTGGCAAAATCTAATATAACTGTACACTTAAGAAGTCCCGAGGCTGTTCTTATCATGTGTAGAACAGAGCAACTTTACAAAAATCAAAGAGCAGCACTGATGCACATCAGTTAACCCACAGATTTGGAGACTCGAAGTAATTAGAGCATTAGCTCGTATAATAATAAGAATTGATGGATTCTGAAAGTTATTTTGTAGCTGCCTGTACCAACATCTCTCCCTAGCTGCTGTTCTCTTGCAGATGCTGAAGTGGGTTTCTGAGCATTACAGTTCTTCACTTTGCTAGTACTGTCCTTGAGACAGTTGGAAAGCCCATTCCTTCTAAGAACCTGTTTGGAGTATCATAGCAGAAAAATATGAGTGGCCTGTAAACTGTATATAATTTAGATTCTCTCTGCCTACAGAATGAATGTAAAACACAACAGAGATCAGTACTAGGACCTGCCACTTTAAATTACAGGGATCTTATTTTTTGTTATCACTCAGATGTCTTTGTACAATTCACAGCATTTCCAGCTGTGAAAAGCCAGAAAAGAAAACCCAGCACAGAAAAATCCTTCAAAGAGTAAATTGATCCTGTCACTGTTAATATATGACCCTAATATGTAGGTGAGAGTAGCACATATGTATGTAAAAATGGTGTTTATGAGTAAGTGTTCACACAGCCTGCATAGAAGACTCAAAATCATGTCTTCATATTTCCTTACATATAGGAAATGTATTTAGTTTTGCTGATTCTGGTACTGTTTCCTCTGAGAGAGAAAAAATATGTTGCATTATACAGGTAGTACAAGGCTCATGATAGAGTATTTTCATGATGTTTATAACACAGTACTGTATAAAACAATGCCCAATAAACACATTTTTGAACAGTAACATTGCTAATTACATCACAGCTTCAAGGAGGCGGCAGGTATATTTAGCATCTATTTGGAAGCCTCTCCTACAATTTGGTGATGATTCACAATATGTAAGCCAGGGCAGTACCCCCTGCAGTGCCTTGAGGTGTACAAAACCAAAGACCTTCTCATTTGTGTGGACACAAACCAGCTGTCCCACTTGGARTGGGTCATTACTCACATTGTCACAGGACCAGCATTGGCATCAGAAGCCAAAGAACTATTTTCAATCTGTTAGAGTTCCGCTGTGTGATAGCCTTACTCTAGCTTTTGGGGAAAAAAAAAAGAAACAATGCGGATCACTGTGGTATTCTGGCTGAGTTTCTAAACTCTCWTGGCTTCTCTGATATCTTGTTCTGTTCAGTGCCTCTGCTGTCATTTCATGTCCTTCAAGGCATCAGCCGATGTTTTTTTGACAGCTAGTGAGCCAGTTATTGACTAGGGAGGTTCAAAGAGAAAAAAAAGAAATCACTGTCAGGCATTTCCACTGGAGAAAATATACCCACATTTTTCTGAACCTCATTTGCTGTTTGGAAAAGGGCGTGTGTGAGTGTCCGTCTTTTCCCTAATGACTATACTCTGTTCTTTAAGTATCCTTCATTTGAGGGAATTCCCAAGCTTTCATGTAACTTTACTTCCTAGGCACTATGCTGAATTCAAAGAAAGGGTTTCCTTTCCTGCAGTCTATAGGTACTGCCTCACCGTAGCACTGGGGAAACCACACAGTTAACAAGCTGAAATGCTGGCATTGTGAGGSATAAGCTCTGATCCAAAATCTTATTTCTCAGACAGCGGAAGGATGAGCTGGAACAGAGGATGTCTGCTCTCCAGGAAAGCCGGAGGGARCTTATGGTTCAATTAGAAGGCCTCATGAAACTACTGAAGGTAAGGACTTCTGCTTGGCATTAGCAAGGAGAAAAGGCACATCAGAGCAAGAGAACGGAGGGAAGAGAGTTGACAACAAAATTCATCAGAACTTGACTTTAGTCTTTAATTTGGATGATTCAGAGACAGTTTCGAATGATACTSAGTTTATGTTGTTCCTGGAGTAGCACCACAGCTCCATTGTCATCTTCTCCTAAGTGGATGGAGCAGTAGAGAGAGCCTCAGTACTACTGAAGAACTAACACAATTCTTTGAATAATGTACAGCAGGTGACATACAGTCCTATTTTGCCAATTTGCAGAAAGATACGGCGGGTTCTCTGAATTTCAGGCTAGTAGTCTCTAGATCACTCATTCAACAATGTCTAAAAACAAGATATTTTGTGRCAGGTCCATTTACAGGTTTTTTTATAGTTTTCTCTCTTGATAACATCAAATGGATGAGAAAAGAACAAACTGACAAGTAAGATGAGATAACAATGGTTCAGAAAAATACAACTCGGTGCCCAAGCTGGCAGTACGGAGCTGTTTTCACTAGTTCTTTAACTTTGCCCCTCTGTTGCTAATTGTCAGACCTGTGATCTGACAGTCACATCTAACTATTTAACCCTAGAGATATTTTCCCAATAACGCKTGGTTGTTTTCTTAAATACAGAAGCAAGTCCTTGCTAAAGAGATGAACCACACCTTTGCAAAACATTTCACTTCTTATAAACGGACATCTCAGGAATACTTGCTTTGTTAAGATAGCATAAGATGGAGAAGGTATCTTTATATGAAAAGTCTTGACCTGTTTTGGCTCTTATGCCTCGAAAGAGATGATGCCAGAAATTCTTACTGGAAGAAACAACTGTTTTTCTGGCATTTCAAAATGGGCAGAACTGAGACTGTAACCTGGACACAGGTTTTCAGCTACCTCAATTTTAACGTTGCCCTGTGCCCAAGCTTTCCTTTCTTCTTCTACTCTTCACTTATATCCTGGCTTATCTAATGTGCTGATCCTCTTTCTCTTTAGGAAGAAGAATTGAAACAGGTAATAAGTTACCTGCATATAAGAGACGTCACTAACTCATAAATGTGTTTGTATTCCTGTCATTTATTTTGGTACCTTTGTTTAAAATGTGTGCATATTCTTCAGACCAAATTTAAATTCTGCACTTCTTCCATATACCATTTTCAAGTATTTTGGAGCAATTTTTACAGTTACAGATTACTTCCTCTTGTCTGCTTCCTTTTTTGGTAGAAGCAGTCAAAAATCTGATATATTCTGTCCATATGAATGCATATATATGCAAAGTTCGTTGGTAGGTAATGTTCAACTTAATAAAAACTAGCATATTGGCTATTTCTTAAAAAGTATCAGTCAGTCTGTTGCAGCAAGAAAATTACACAGCACCTCTGTGTAAGGTCTGTCTTCCAGCTTCGCCATAATAGTATYGAAAGATCTTCTATTTGCAATAAGAAAGTCCCCAACATAATCAGAGTTTCCATATCATACAAAATAGTCACTGTTTTGTATGGACAGTACTAAATGAGAGTACATTTTAAGACTGTTATGATACATCATATCATATCATATATCATATCACCCCAGAATTTCCATGAGATGATGACCACTAAACTTTACCATTTCACAGTCTGTTCAAAGACACAGAATTAAATTAATTTCTGGAGAAATTTCTTTGGAATGAGCAGCCTGGCATTTCAGTTAATGCCTATGAACTTTGTATTTTTCTGCTGCTCTTCCTTGAGAGAGGGTAATGAGGACATCCTCTGTGTATAATTTCCTTCTCATTTGTCTCTCCCGGTATGTGATCCCTCTCCAATTCCGGCAGAGGGAGCAAGGATCTAAAACTCCTGTAAAGCAATTCAAACAATTTATGCTAAGCATGCATGCAGCCTGATACACATAAACCTTTTTCTGTCTAGCAAAGGTTAATTAAAAATCTTTAGCATGTTRACTAGCGATATGAAATTAAAAAATGCAGTAAATTTTCCTAAAAGACAGCAGAAAAATTGATGACTGCAACCAATCAAAATGCAAAAGCTGAARTTGTCTCTGTTTCTGTACTGTCTGTCATAGCTTTCCCTTCCTCCCTCCTCAGGTAGTGCTAACTAAGTTTGGGAGCAATTTGGTGCTTGATTTCCCCACTTGATGGTCAAGGAATTGCTTACTGCTGCTTTTTCTAGCAGTTTTACAGGCTAGCAGTTTTACAGCTCTAGCCCATGGAAACTGTGTTTTTCCGAATTTCCAGTATTCAGGAATCCAATCCTAATAGCATTCCATTCCCGCCAACTAGTCATGAATGGGATCTAACTAAATAAAGTATAATGAAAGTGTTTGCCTCATTTAAATCAGCCCTTCTCAAACATTCTTYTATTTCAACTTTATTTTCACTGATTCTGCCTGATGTTGCATGAATAATATAAAAACAATAAGTTTTTAACTGGGAATCCAAATGATTCCTTGCTCTGTGCTTCCCAAACAGGCTGATCAGAAATGGAAAGTTACAGATAAGAGAGTGTTGTTTATCATAAACACAAGATGTTGAGCATAACTATAAAATAGACTCAACACTACACTGGTGAACAGTTTTTTACATTTCTCCTGTGGGAAAATTCCAGAGGAGAAACACTGGCAGGCATCCGTTATTTTTAGTAAATAAAATGCCCATTATGTAGTTCATTCCTTAAATAAGACTTGATTGTCGAAGCAAATTTAATCCTTTTTTTCTTCCATGGCTTCTCTGAAAGTTCCCACTGTTGTTAGCACTCCCTAGAACTGCCACTGAAAGTGAAGGGAAGCGGAGGAAAAAAGGGGAAGCGGAAGAGAACTGGGAGCAAGAAGCTCTTCACTTCACAGCTCTTCCGCTTCATGGAGGAGTCAGGGCATGGCAGAAAATAGCTGCAGCTGCCAGATCTCCTGTGCAACATGCAGTGGGTGCCACCTCTGCGGCCATCACCAGGTTGCTGGTCCCTTCACCCAGCTGGAAGAGACCAAGGGCAGCTGAATTCCCCGCGGCCACCTCAGGGGTTGGTTTCTGTGAGAGCAGGTAGAGAGGAGTGCAGGGACAGCTGGGCCTAGTGTTTTCAGACTCCCTTTTGTGCATCATTTAAGTGTTTTAAAACTGATCATTAAAAAATATTTTTTAAAAGTATTAAATCYTCTGTTCTCTTACTGTGTTTTTTTCCTTATGAATCTAATTTGCCACAATGTCTCTCCAGTTATAATGTCCTCTAAGAAAGGGGAGAGAGGAGAAAAGAACAAATAACTTAATATTCTAAGACATGAGTTATGATTAGGGCGGGATTTTTTACAAACKCTCCAAGAGCAATGTCACATTCCTTCTGTAATGGGCAGCTCTTGACCTTTTTTGAATAGATTTCCCAAATCAAGTCTGAGCTGGGAATCAAAAGAAACAGCATGGAAGGAGTTAAGAAATCCTTCCAATTCTTCAGATAAACAAAGAGTGAGGGAAACACCAGCTTTAATATTATTTTTCAATGTGAGCAGGCAGGCACATGYGCTCTGGTCCCTGTTTTAAATGTGCTCAACCACTTCAGTCCCTGGCCTGTACTGAACACAGATTTTCTGTCTTGACAAGAGGTGCGTTGTTTAGTTAGGGTTGGAGAGTTTGTTTTTCCTTAGGTAAATGTGCATTCCAGGGCCTCTGAGGCAGTCGAGGAAAAGTTCACTGTGTCTCTTGGTATCACTCACCCAGCTGCATCTGTAACAAATACTGTTTTGCAAGGCCTGTTTGAATTTCAACTAAGTGATACTAACCGTGAAGTGCTAACAGCATGACATTTTATATGACTGGTATTAAAACTTTAACTTCCAGCAGCTGAACGAATAGCAGGAATCTAAATTGTCCTGTCTCCACAGTATTTGGGCAGTGCCTGAGTATATCCTGTAGAGAGAAGAATTTAATAGTGGATGATTTAGTAGTGTCTTAAAATAGTCCTCTAGTTCAGAAGAAAAAGAACTAAGCTGTGTTATTTATTGGGAGTGCCAGACTTTATGTGACTGAAGGGCTGCATGTGCATTTTAAAATTTTATGGTACGATCTTTTTTCTGTCACGAAGCAGAGACTCAGATATGAGCGCACAGATGAGCTGAAATACAAGAATTCTGGTTAAAGAAATGCAGCTTTCGGTCCTTACCCAGACTGAAAAATGCTTCAGCCTCTTTCCACTTCTGAAAGTCTGAATGATTTACCTTTTATCAAACACATATGAATTGGGAGAGGGAAAGAACTAAGAGGGGAAGAAAAGGGCTATGCTTGACATTTAATATTTTAAATTAGTTAGTTGTCTGACATTTTCTTAAGTTTCAAGAAAGTCGGATGTGGAGTTGTATTTTCCTACCTGCTTTTATTTTCCACACCGCGCTGTTGCTGTCCCCTAGCCAACAACTAACCTGAGTAGGTTTCTTTTAGCAAAAATAACATCGCCCAACTGATCTACAAGCAGCATGATGCCTTTGAGGTGCGGGATGGGTGACGAGGAGAGCAGGCCGAGTCTCTTGCAAAGAGCTATTTAACCACGTGTGGTTGTTTTTCAGAGCCAAGGGGCAGGCTCGCCTCGTTCCTCACCCAGCCACACCATCAGCCGACCTATTCCCATGCCCATCAGGTCCGCGTCTGCCTGCTCCACACCGACCCACACGCCTCAGGACTCGCTGACCGGGGTGGGAGGAGATGTGCAGGAAGCCTTYGCACAAAGTAAGTTTCATCAGTAGGATGCGTGAGGCACCCAGGGACTGTTTTAGGAATCCTTATTTCTTCTGGTTAATGGCCAAATTGAAGTCGAGTTTTGGGATTGCATAGAAAGAACAAACTGGAAAAAAACAGTTGTGGTTTACCAATGAAAATCATTTTTTCTGCCATCGATCTGTTTTCTGGGGGAGCAATTAAGTGGAAACCAGTCAGGGATGTCAACGAATGTGTTTGGGGCTAAGAGGGGATTTTAATGCAAGACAGCCAAATCAGTTTTCTTAATCAGAGTATAAAGAACTGTTACTAAGCTCAGTAAGGTTTTGTGAGTGGATTTATTTTTAAATAAAGACTGCTAAAGATCTATGCTAAATCCATACTTAAAAATAGATAATAGAATCATAGAATAGTTTTGGTGAGAAGGTCAATTCATGTAGCCTCCAGCTCCAAGCCAGCCAGCTTCRAAGTGAGATCAGATTGTTCCAAACTGATCTAGCCGAGTTTTGAATATCTCTGAGCATAAATTTTCCACAGCCTGTGTTCCAAGGATTGACCACACTTCACAGTGTAAACTTTGGTCCTTGTGTCTGGTTGGAATTCCCTTTGATGCACTTGTGACTGTGGTCCCTTCTCCTCTTGCCTGTGAGAGCCTGTGAGGGGAGTCTGGCTAGACTGGACAGGAATCTAGTCTGCAAGTGTAGGTGAACACTTCCTTCACATTTCCAGAAAAATCACATAGGCTGTATTGTGTTTCTCCTTCCCCTTTCATGTAACAGGATCTCATTCCCCTCTCATCAAGTAACAAGAAATGTTAAACTGTTTTGAATTTCTAAGGCCACAGGTTAAATGGTTATGTTGAATGCAGAGGAAAGTAAATAGTCTGTGAGACCTGAATGAAGAAATATTCCTTCTTTCTCTAAGTTACTTTCTTCTAGAATATTTATATTGCTGCAGTTCTTTTATTTGAGCAAATTTTTGCTCTGTTTCACCAGCACAAATCAAAATGTAGGTGGTGTTGTGGAGTTCCTCTGCTGTGGTGGATGAATATTGGGCCCCAAGAGCCCAGTTCTGCCTTTGTGTTTATGTACTTATGGCAAGGTTGAATTCATAAAGCAATCAAGAAATTTCCATTAAAGCACTGGTAAATTCATGTATTAAACATGTTTTACAAAGGCATAATTCCCAGTCCCAGCACACCAGGTTGATGAATACCTCATTTGCTGTGAGAAAATCAGCAAGAAATATTTTTCTTCTTTTTGCCATGAAAAGTTGAGAGAGGCAAAAATAGGCACCCTATCCCCTATGAAATTGTAGAACACTTTCTTCCAGCGCTAGAAATAATTTAGTGGCTACAATAAAATATCCATAAATAATACTTAACCTGCCTCAGGCAAATGTTTCTTAAGCACATAAATGTGTTCTGTTCAAGAGAAAAACCAATATAAAAAAGTAGAGGGATTACATTTTAAAACTACTACATTTGATAAATATCTAGCTTTATGCTATTATTTCCCATACTCCATAGTTAGGAGGGTCAAAACCAGAGAACTTGAAACCGCCRTCTTGTCACGTGTTCACATATATCAGTGCGTGGAGAGATAACGTCTGCCTGCTGCACCATCCCRACAGGGATCTGTTTATACACACGGCGTGCCGAGCAGCCGTGGTTGGAGCACTGTTCCTCACATTTTTGTTTTCTTTTTTTTCTCTTCTTTCCTAGTGCTTTAGGAGTTCAAAGACAGCTGTCTGAGTCAAAGAGGTGTCTTGTGTGTGTGTGTGCCTGAATGTGGGTAATTGTTTCTATATATGCACGAGAGGGATTAGCTGCTTTCGTCTACATTCCAGTAACCATTTGATAACTGTGGTATATTAAAAAAGAACCTTTTTAGGATTTGGGGAATTTAAGAAAAGGTGTAGTACAACAGCCTGTCAGTTTAAGAATCCACAGCAGTTAAATCCTGCTACTTCCTAGGAAGAATCCAGTCTAGGAGAAATGAGAGTCTATGGGACACATTGGTTATTCAGCTGCAAAAGGAGCTGTGCTTGGGATTTGGGAGAGTTAAGCACACGTTACCCTCAGCCCACTCCTAGGGAAGCAATTTTGCATTCAGCTCACCAGAATCTTTCACGATTGATGGTTGAGGGAATATTGCCAGGTTCAGCAGGGAACCACTTCAGGATTATTAGAAGGAGTCTAAAACCAGCCTAGGGCTGTTTAGAGAAGGACTAGTGTTTCCTTTATTAAAAAAAGAAGAAAAAAAAAAAAGTAAAACATGGGATATACAAATCTTTGAGCTACAGACGAGACTGAGTGAAGAGGAAAAAGGGAATGGTGAAAAAAAATCCATATCAGTCTCAATGAGGTCAAGTATGTTTCTTCAACATTTGCCATAATTATGTGGCAAATACCTGAAAATAATGATGTCATTAAACAGAACTGCGGGAACACAGAGACTCAATTCCTCCCCCCTCACCCACGGACATTTTAAATGAGTTCACATTAGATTTAATCTTCCAGGCCTGGTCTGCTGGTGTCACCACACAAATGTGAGCTTGATGGCGATGAATAATCTCCACATTTCTGGCATTGTGATTAAATGAAGCATGAGGGTAGGTTTCTGCTTTTGCATACAGCGTTGGAAAATGAGGCCGTTCTGCAGAGAGCTCTTCTGCACACGTCTCCTGTAAGGGCTTTGGTACCTTGAATCACCACAACGGCAGCTCTGGGAAGGGCTAAAACTGCTTTGAAAACGAAAACATACGGCTTGTGAGGAATATTAATGCTGTGTTGTGTCTGTCTCCTGCTTCAGGTGCAAGACGGAACTTAAGAAATGATTTGCTGGTGGCAGCAGATTCAATCACYAACACCATGTCATCTTTGGTAAAGGAGTTAAATTCTGGTGAGTGAGGCTAAAGAGCGAAGATAGTCTCTGCATTGTCATTTCCTATGTATTTTTAAAAAATGGGATCTAGGAAAAAATAAGCAAATAAAAAGGCAATGTGACATAGAGCATCAGAGATGCTTGCGGTTTTAATTCATTCAGCAAATTGCTCATGGATCCGTGTGGAAATGGTCTCTTAAAGGAATAATTGTGCTATTGGTCAGTGGGGGGTGAAAATGTCCTGATTTCCTAGCACCTTTCCATCCCATTAAAAAATACCCATTGAAATGGATGGCTGGGGTGGTGTGGAAATCAGATTTCATTCTTCAGAAATTTGGCTCAGTGTAGGATGTGTTGTAAAATGTATGTAGAACACTTTTTAAAAAATCCCACTTAATAAAAATATCCCGCTTAATAAGTGAAGTAGGCAAAAGTTGACTATTCTGTCCCACCATTAGAGGAAAATTGTAAGATCTGAATTATGTGTAAAATAATATAGTGACATTCCCTGTTAGAAGGTGGCATTCTAAATCGGAAAGACAGAGATGTGTAGAGAAATACTCTCGAGAAAGTTAAATGGAGACACCTTTCTGCTTCCCAGAAGTGGGCAGTGAGACAGAAAGCAACGTGGATTCGGAATTTGGACGGACACATTTTGATGATCTTGTTCCATCGCCGACCTCGGAGAAGGCTTTCCTGGCCCAGATCCATGCCCGCAAGCCCGGGTACCTCCACAGCGCTGCTGCCACCGGGTCCATGCGCAGTGACATGTGGGTACCCTCTCAGTTCGCCACTTTAATCCCTTTCTTTTTATTCTGTTATCCTTCAAGATAAAAAGCAGCATGGAGTCTCTCTTCTCAGCCATTAGATTACCAAAATTTCTGTAAATTTGAATGAGGACAACTTTATGATTAGATAACCATAAAGTTGCCTGTGCATACTAAGGGCCTGCTGGAGCTAACTGAAAAATACAAGTTTGTTATGGAAAGGACAAAATGTTTTTTCAATCAGCTTAGTTTTTAGAAGCTGATTTTTTCGATCAAAGACAGTGGGCGTCTTTCCACTTATTTTTAGTCCAACCTCTTATTCAAAGAAGTTTCTGAGGACTTCTGTTACTAATTTCAGAAGCATTGAACGCCAAAAGCTTCAGCAGAACACACCCTTTAGTTTACATCCTGGATACCAGACTACTGGAGACATGATAGACTTATAGGAAAACAATGATTAATGGAGCATCTGCTCTCCTCATAGCTTATAGTAAAGGGACTTTGTATTTACCCCAAACGTCGTTCATCTCAGGAGGCTATTTATTAATAATTGTCTTTAGGGTTACAGAAGATGGAGACCCCTATGTCAGAGCAGATGATGAAAATTATGAGAATGACTCTGTCCGCCAGCTGGAGAATGAACTGAAGATGGAGGAATACCTGAAGCAGAAGCTGCAGGATGAGGCATACCAGGTGAGAAGAGAACACTGGCTGTCCATGAGTCTCCATATGTGAGAAACAATAACGCTGGTGATGTTAAGCTGAGTTTTTGTTACATGTGGATATTTTTTTCAGTAGTGAAAAGCCTTCCTGTTGACTAGACTGTGAAGTGAAGCTGAAGTACAGTGTGTGTGTCCTTGTCCTTGTCACAGCCTGGAAGGAGAAGAAAGGGTCTGAAATAGACTAAGCCGCAGAGGACCAAGTGTTCAGCAAACATGTAGTACAGTGAAGCCCAGATGCATTAAACGCCTCCTAAGGAAGTTTTCAAAGGGCTTTTGTCCAATAAAGAGTCCAATAAAATCTAATTTGATGGAAGGGTTTGGGATTCTCAAAGTGTCCTCTCCTTCCTGGTTAAAGGTCTCTATATCTGCCTTGTATAATGGACTATTGCCAGTTTTTAAGTTCTCTGACATGGATCATCCTATATAAAGACCATTATTTCCTGCAATATTACTGGTAATATTAGGAGGGCACACCCAATTCAGATGTAAGGGAGCAGGTTTAAAGCAAGCAAAAATAAGATTTCCCCACATGATGAGTGATTAGGAGTTGGAATTCATCACTGTAAGGTACAGTAGATACCAAAAATATAAATAGGCTAAAAAAAGGATTAAACAGATATACCTGAGAGATCAAGTGTATGGAAATTACGTTCAAACTTTCTGGTCAGGAATTCTTTAAACTGCTGCTTTCTGGGAGCTAAGATGACGTAGCTTTTTTTTTCTGGTAGTTCTTTCTGTAGTATCTATCACTGGTCATTTTGGAAGCAAGATTGGAAAGTGAAAAAATTCTGTTTGGAATATCCTGTTAAACAGTAGCCAGGTCATCTATTTTGCATCCAAACTCTGGAACTTAGTATAAGCTATTTTACTGTTCATACTCACAGGTACAATGTGTTCCCTTGGAGAGCCAAAAACAGCTGATGACTGTAGCTATCATAATGCACCCGTGAGGAAGAACTCCTACTAGGGTGGCAGCGTGGTAACCTCAGTAACAGTATTTTACCGTATCAAATATCTCACTTTGTGTAAAAGCAGCACGTTTAGGAAAACTTGTAGCTTGAATAGCGGCTGGTCAAAACCCACTCTTGTTATTTTGTGTCACCTTATCTCCAAGCAAGATTTTCAAGCAAAACTCTGAATTAGAAAGGGATGAGCAGAATACTCAAGATACTCAAGGGAATCTGGGACAGGGAACCTCATAGGAGGTTCTTTTTCTCTCTTTTTTTGAGCATGTTGTAAATAACAAGCATTTGTACCAGAAAAACAACAGCAACAGCTAACCACATCTAGTGCACAAATATAAATGCTAACAGTTCTTATCCTCCCACGTCTGCTAGCAGTTGGGTTCTTGGATGGGTGTACTGTATAATACACTTTCACTGGGCTTATTTTCTGGGTCCACAGTCGTTCTTTTTATTTCTAGGCTTGTGCATGGCTCTCTTCAGAATAATACACTGCCTGGCTGCTCACTGCCTTAATTTGTCATCTTCTTGTTTTCTATCCTTTGTTATCTACAGGTCAGTTTGCAAAGTTGAGTGCAATATTCTTCTCTCTCTCCTCTCAAGTAAGTATAAATACAGTTTAGAAGAAAATTTAAAATTAATGTTCCATAATGTGTAGTTCACTTGCACTGCACCTCGTGCTCCCTGAGTAATGTGATGATGCTTTTTTTCTCTGCTTTTAACCTGTGTTAGGATGCCTAAACATCACAAAATCTTTTCTGGTAATACAGAGGAAATGTGATCATAGTCCTGAGGATTCTTATTAAGGCAGCACCCTTTTTACCTTCATCCACCATTAACCCTAGGAGGAAGTTAAAAGATGTTAGGTATTTCTGAAGCATCTCTCTCAGGATCTCTAACAGCTAAAGCAGAATAAATGGATATGAAAAGCAAATAAACAGTAAGAGACAGAGTACTGTAAATACAGAACTTCTTCTTAACGTTGCACCTCTGGTTACATTCATTTTCTCAGTAGCCTGGTTAGAAATCTAGGTAAAGCTGCGTAGGTTTTTCCCACACAGACAGAAAACAAGTTTTCAACTTTGATTTTTTTGTAGTTTTCAGGTACAGATTAGGTCACATGAAACAGAAAATTGGTCTTTCAACAGAAATGTATGTGTGTATAGGAKATGTTGTATATATCTGAATTTAGTAGGTATTAGTTACCACGAATTTAAAGGATAGTAGCATTCAGACAAATTAGTTGGAACATTAAACATTTTTTTTTCCTATTTCTTGATTAGATTTAAAAGATTGGGTCAGTTTATTTTAAGATTTAATTCCTTTTTAATAACTTCCCCACTTTCTGCTTTCCAGAAGCAGTATTAACAGCAAATGCATGCTGCTGTATTGCCTAGCTTTCCTGAAAATACTCATCATACCTCAAGTTAGCAGAAATTTGAGTTGTCTGGATGCTTTTGAAGCATTTTGAAGGCCTGAGAGAGAGCTGAATAGTCCCCAAAACTCCTCTTGGCCCCCAGGGAGTACTTCAGTCAGGAACACTGAAACATCCCCATCCAGCCCTGCAGAAATTACCAACAAATACCAGTGAACTTGGGACTGCATCCAGTCCTTATCCACAGGAACAAACTCTATATTATCATATATTGTGATAAATATGTCTACATGTGATTAGATTATAATAAAGATTAGTCTTCTAAAGAGGCAGTCTGTTTTGAATACAGAAAACTCATGTGTCTTGTATATTTTATTCAGTCTTAAAATAATAGTCATGGCAAATAAAATCCAAAATTGTTCATAAAGGCCGTGATGCCTAAAGCAGTTTTGTGGTTTATGGCAGGCTCTTTCCTGAACCTGACCGATTGCCTCACATGATAAGGGGTCTTTGAAATGTGCATTGCTTTTACTTGGGAACCTTTGAGATGTAGACAGAAGACTTTTGCTTCCAAAAAGGGGTCCAAGTAATCTATAAAATATATTTCAACCATGTTTTCAGTTTACTTTTTACATGAGACATATTTTGATACCACTTGTTTTGATCTTAATGGAGAAAAAAGTGAGATTGTTGTCAGCAAGCACTAGGCAAATCTAGAAACTAGGAGAACATGCAACTTTGACATTATTTCACTTAAAAATAGCCTATAGTCCACTGATAACAGTTGCTTGTCTGCCAAGGATACCAATGGGAGCAGAAAGTCCCCATTTCTGGAAGTGGTCAGAAGAAACCATTTTCAATAAAGAGTTGTCCACTTGTGGACATGCTGCCATTCCCTAAAGCAATTCTTTCTTAGTGCTGCCATAGCAACATTTTAGTTAGCCGCATTGAGTTCATTCATATGCATTATTTAACAAAAAGCTTATAAAAGCCCAGCCTAACGCATACACCTGTAAAGGAGTATAGGGGTGAGTCTTTATTATAAGTGTTTTTTTTCAATTTCTTTAACTGCAATTATATTTCCTATATGGTGGCAAAATCAAGTTGAGGATTCAGCTCCATTCCTTCTCTAAAACCTCACACTTGCTCAAAATTTTGCTCAAGATTCTCATGGGCCTTGGGGATTTGAGAGGACAGGGGTGATAATTTCCATTAAATAGATGTCCAGATTGTTCCGTGTTCTGAAAAAGTAGAAATTTCTCAAATATATTTAAAAAAATCCCTCCCAAATTTTTGATTTTTTTTTAATTACAAACTGGTTATTTCTTGCAATGCTACTGTTTTATTCCAGGGCAGAAATCCTTTTGAGTAGTACAGTAATGTTCCCTCTCATCTTCCCCTTTTCTCTCCAAAGTCCCTTTTCATGTTTACTGACAGTGATTCCGATTGCCAGAATTCCTTTGTGAAAACCCATGGGTCTTGGGAAATGATGGTGCCATTTCAGCCTGCCTAGCATGTCTCTTTGAGAAGGGTTGTTTATTAGGCCAAGGGATGCAGGGTGACAGATGATTTATTAAAGGTCCATGAAAACCCAGCTGCCCTGCATTTCTATTTCTTCTTCCAGGAAGGAAATAAGATTTTGGAGGTAGCATGCATCTCACTGACCGTTGACATTTTCCTCTTCTTGACTTATTTGAAGTTCATGCCCTGGGGTTCTCTGCTAGCACAGGCTTCATGCCAGCGCTCAGGCAATCGCAGAACCACAGGATGGTTGGACAGGGTTCCCTGGAGGTCACCTACTCCAGTCTCCTGCTTGAAACAAGACTAGCACCATCATAAGGCCATATCAGCCAGGGATTTGTCTGACAGAGGCTTGAGAACCTCCACAGATGGTAATTTCACCACCTCTCTGAGCCACCTGCTCTAGTACATTGCTACCAACTTCATGATTTTTTTTTCTGATGGCGAACCTGAACCACCCAAAATGCAATTTGTGTTATTTGTCCTTCTTATACTCCTCTTATATCTTATATAGGTTTCATAAAGGTTTTCTTTGGCCTCCTCTTCATATAAGTCAGTGATGCTGTGGTAAAGAATTAGGATACAGGCACTAGACCGAGTCATGTATATAAGGCATTCTCCAGTAGTAAAACCCAATTATTCAGGGTTGTGGGGTTTTGGTTTTTTTTTTTTTTCGGGGGTGGCACTTTTTCTTAAGGAATACATAAGAAAACAGCACCACATGAACCGTTCTATTTGAAAATAAGAGCTAACAGCACAGCAACTTCCATAGAATTCAGTCAGCTATATTTTATTTCTTCTTTTTGCTTCTTCTTAAGTCCTGCTCTTCTTAGTAAGCAGTACAAAAGGTGCAAATGGACTGTGACCAAGCTAAGCAGGATGAAAAGCTTTCATTTTGTGAAATTAATTTTTAAATTATACAAGCAGGGATTTTTCTGGAAATGACTAAATGATGAATGTCAAGGAAAAACAATTGGATTAAGCTGTAAACACCAAAGAGCCAAGAAACAGTCTTAGGACCTGACAAATCACTTGAGTCCTGGAATTAATTCTGGCATTTCCAAACCACTGCAGTGAATCTAGAGTTCTGAGGTTCATTAGCACTCATTATTTCCTGTTAGAAAATCTCCTACTCATCCCAGTGCTGGGTCTGGAAGAGAAAGAATCCTTGAGAGAATTTACAATAGCCTTCTCCATACTCAGTGAAAATACATGATTTATCCAGAAAATTAGAAAAAGAACAGACATTTAGCGATACTACCCATGCACCTTAATGCATCCAGCTTTTTCAAAAGCCACTTACTTTGCTTTTGTGGTTTATACGTCAATGATACATCAAGAAGTATGAGATGTACCTATATTTACACAGTTTAATTAAATGTAGTTGAATTAAATTTACACAATTGTGTAAATTGTGTAAAATTTAATTGATTAAGTAAGAGTCAGTGTCAGGCAGCTTAGAAATGACCTCTGCCATGCCTTTCATTTTGATTTTTTGGCTGAGTAAAATATGACTTGGCTAAGATTTCCAAATTAGTTTGCAGATTGAATTGATGCAGATGCATGTCAGATTTTTAAAAAATACTCAAAATGAACTCTATTTTTTTGTTAATCTCTTGTACTTGCACTGAATATTTCCTTTTCATTCCTTTTCAAAATGTTRCCACTAGGTCTTTTTTAACTTTGACAAAAGATGATGCTATATTAAGATCATCATACCATCATCATACCATACATATTGAAGGAATTTCATGGAAACGTCTCTGCTTGAATAATTAATCCAATCAAATGAAGAAAGGAGAAGCAAGCTAAACTACCTGACCTTTCTTGATTCTTYATATGTTATTAGCTTTTTTTTTGCTTAAGCTATTTGCATTTCATCTCTCATCTTGTCAACCACATTGACACCAGAAATCGGTAGAAGAGAATCCATGTCAGTAGAGTTTGGTCTTTTCTGTTGTTATCAGTTCTCATGTCTGAAATGGTTCAAGAGAAAAAGGATGAACTCAGCTTTGAAAGGGTCAGATGTACAAACAAGATGAGAAAACAGTCATCTCATGGGATAAATATTCGGAAAGAAAAGATTTGCAATATTACCTGAATGTAGACCCTCACATGCTTCTGAGAAAGAGCAGCAGTTGTTTATCAAACTTTTTCCATGACCAGATACAATTTGGTGCCTTCAGTTCTAGAAATTAAGAAATTTATGGGTTCGTCAGGGTATGGAAAAGCACCAAAGAGAAGCTTGTGCACCAGAATACTTTAGAGCTATAGCACCCAGACCTATTACAGAGTTACAGAATCCCAGAATCCCAGAATGGCTGAGGTTGGAAGGGACCTCTGGAGATCATCTAGTCCAGTCCCCTGCTCCAGCAGGGACACCCAGAGCACGGGGCACAGGGCGGCATCCAGGTGGGTTTGGAGACCTCCAGATAAGGAGACTCCACAGCCTCCCTGGGCAGCCTGTGCCAGGGCTCTGGCACCCTCACAGGCAAGAAGTTCCTCCTCACATGGAGATGGAAACACACTGCCTGTGTTTCGACTTATACCCATTACCCCTTGTCCTGTCATTGGCCACCACTGAGAAGAGCTTGACCCTTTCCTCTCTTTTAAGAGGACTTCTTTTAAGAGACTAAATTTCTTTTTAGACATATGAAGTGAAGGTAGCCAAGCATGTAAATTAAGGGGAGACATTTACAGCCTTACACCTCGTTTAAGGTGGCTGAACGATGGCAAGGCTCATGATGCGAAGATGGCGAGTGGCTGTTGAGTGGTTGAACTTTCTGTGTCTATTTACAGACCAACCTAGAAGGCTGAAATATAAGGGAAGGCAGGAACATCTGCAAGTCTGTGTTATTCTAAATCTAATTTCGCCAGTGACCTCCCTGCAGAATACTGAACCACCCAGGCTAAGAGGATTCCAGCTTCCCAAGCACCCCATAAGTTTTGATTTACAGCTTAAGCGCAAACCTCATCTAGGCAGAAGGGCTTTTCTACTATTTTTTTCAGGTGAAAGCTGAAAGGATAGTTTGTCTATTCTTTGTTTCAATCAAGTAACATGCAGAGACTTTACTTGCTCAACTAGCATGTGTGTGTGCACACAGCTGCAGCATCTTAACCCAACACCCTCTGTAAAAACTTTCCCTAAATGTTTCTGCACAGGCAAGCTGCAGCCAGACAGACAACGAGAGCTACGTAAGAACTGATGACGAGGAGAGCTGCTTTCGGACAGACGACGAAGAAAACTCCGCTGCAAACTTCACAGACGAGTGGAACCAACAGGTGCAGCGTCTCTTGACAAAAAAATCAAACAACTAAGTTCTGAGGACTGTAGCACAGTACTTTTGTTCTAAGAGTTGTAGTTTGTAGATGTGTGTTTTGACAAAAAGACTTTTGTTTAAAGCTAACTTATATTAGCTACATCTGCTGTAACATGACTCATTACCAGTGAAGAACACAGACTGAAGTAGGTACTGCTGTTACAATAAATGGCAGTATTAATAACTCACATAAACCCTTTGCACATGATATTGAACCTGTTCAGTTTACAATGACAATACTGTTTATAGATAGAAAATTGATTTCTGAATACTTTGAGATTTTAGTAGACCAGTTTACTATACACTGTACATTTTTTTCCACAGAAAAGATAAAAAGCTACAATTATGCATTTAACACTGAATGATTATACTCCTGAGTGTATATATCTAGTAGCCCAAAAACAAAGTTCCAGACTGTATTTGCAATTTGTTTGCAAGTCTTTTAATAGACTTATACAAAATGTACTAAAATGATAATAATATAGTTAACRATAGTAATAAAAAGCCTCTCTAATTTAGGGCTAATGTGTAACTTAGGAATGTTTTCTTTCAAAATAATCTAACAAATCAGCCATAGAAGTTAGTGTAAATATTTTTTYTTTTCCAAATAGATATCATATACAAAAGGTGACATTCAAATGATATAGAATCTAGTTTTTAAATCAGCACAGATCTTCTTAAAAACTGTGAACTATGTTTTGAAATACTCGTTGCTAAAGCTGTTTATAAACCACAGGTGCCATAAGATCCCTGAACTGACTGATGTTATGTATAATCTTCCATGGAATTGTTTCATTGATGTTTTAGCTTTAGTAAGCATGTGTTCAACAAATCGGCTCTTTCCATTCCCCTGCCCCTCCGACTCTCTCCTTCTTCATGTTATTTTTGAGGCCTTCAGCTTTAAATGTACAGGCTTAAAGTGCGCTTGCGACTCTTTTCTTTCTTATTTCCGAATGTGTATTGCCTTAGCCAGCCACCAGATGTTCTGCATGCACTCTTGGAAATGTGTAGTGAGACTCTCTTTCAGAGCTGAATGGAGAATTAGCTATCCGTGAAAAGCACAAGAAGAGCGGTGGATTTTTGCGAAAGAACAGGCATACAGTCACAGAATTGGAGTTTTGCCCCTTTTAGTAACTTCTGAGCATAGCAGAATTTCCGGAGAAAGGGGACTAATCTGACCRTTTTGGGTTATGCAGTGAGCCTGCTAGCTGAAAGGTGTTTGCTCTGCTCCTGCTACAGATGTGCAGGTAGTTCTGAGCAGGGGCTGACACAAAACAGCTGGGATGTCCTCCACGCAGGTTGTTGCTTGGAAATTAGGATTGTGGCTGCACTGGCACGCGGCGAAATTCGAGCTGGTCCAGGTACGTTAGGGGTGGAATTAGAGCTAGGCCAGAAGCAGGACAGCAGCGCCAGGGCCATGTTCTGTGCTGGCTGCACGGCCCTGCTGAGGAGCACACGGTGTTACCTTGGGACCCGCTCTGTGCTAAGGTAATATTGCTGCACTAAGGTAATWTTACGGCCTCCAGTCCCTGGGTTACCTGAGGTGACCCTGCCTGGCAGCCCTGAAGACTCTAGCGTTTCATGCAGATATTCCAGCAGCACAGTCTACCTACAGCGAGGGACGAGCTGCTCATCCCAAGCAGGTTAAARTGTTGGTCTGTCCTCTGTTTCTTGGTTACATACATTGTAGGATGTATGCTGCCATGTTTACATTGCTATTTGGCTCAACCCAGCAATTTCACYTGCCGCCGCACGTGTTCTCAACGCTCTTGACTGTTTCCCCAGGYACTACGTGTTAGGGAATGAATATCTGTATGAAAGAGCTACCATTTTTCACTTTCATATTGTATTACTACTTATGCAAGTCTGTTGTCCACATCTCCATGCATATCTGAGCGTGGTCTCAGGCATCCAAATTGATGCTAAAGCATCCGGATATCTTCATGTAAGCCTTCCATCCTCGCAGTCACTGGTCTTTGCTTCTGGGGTAGGTGCCATCCTGGCACCGAATCCTCTGATGCCCTCTCCTACAACCTCCTCTCAGGAATGAGTGAGCCTCCACTAGTGCCTAGCACTCCGCTTAAACCCCCTGCAGCGAAGCCGTAGATGTTGCTGTCAGCTCAGGATTCCTGTCAAGCATTTCCTGAAAAACAAACAAACAAAAAGACCCCGAGAACACGGCTACATGCACGGGCTGACGAGCTCAACCTGTGTCGTGTCTAACTGTACCCAAAGGAATAACTCCCTTCCATCATCCTAATGTCTGTGCRCGCATTATCACTATGCTTAAAATAGATGCAGTAGAAATAAATCCGTTGCAAGGGCTTCTGGACTAGGAGTAATGAAAAGAGCTGGTAGATCAAGTGCTTTTCTCCCAGACTGGTGTCAGCAAGGTAGTTCCCAACAGAGACCTGGGTCCCTGGTGCCCTGGAGCTCTGAGAAGAAGCACCTCTTACTCGGCTCTCCCAATATCTATTTTAAGCATTTCCCACCTGTTAAGCTGCCTACATTTTAGGCCAGCTGGTCTTCGTCTGCTTGTCGCATATTATTTTGGTTGTGGTTTGTGGTCATTGAAGCAGTTATGGAAGAGGTCCCTGGTACAGGCCTTTTCCTAGCTACGAATGGCTCACCACGGCAGTCAAAACTCCGGGTGGTTTAATGTCCCTGGAGGGAAATCAGTGGTTTGGAATCAGGAGACAGGGATGTGAAGATGTATAGGGTTCTTGAATGTCCAAAGCAAAGGTGAAGAATGGGTTGTCTGTAAGTAGTAATGTTAACTAAACTGCATTAAAAGGTGTGTGGCCTTTGTTGTGATATAATATGTATTTTCTTATATGCATGAGCCAAATTGTTGCATCATAATTTATCATAAATGTGTCTGCCTTTACTTTTGGTCATCTTCTCCCATCCTTATTGGTTCTTGGCAATTACTGTAGATAGACCTTGTAAATATTGCAACCTCAGGTTGCTGTAATCACGTTGGTTCAATTCAGCAGCCGGAGCTGTGAACAGCAAGCTCCACTGTGTCCTGACGACAAAGGGCATTTTTACCTTTGAACCAAAAAAAAGAAAATGTTTGAAGAGTTACACCTTAAGGCTACTAACTGCAAGACGTTTTTAAAACTACTGTACTTGACGCCACTTGAGAGAGCTACAGAGACACAAAAGATGTCACGATATTCATTGGTATTGTAACAGAACTGCTATTGTATGGGTTTTTTGTATTGCTGTTAAGTATTGTTTTGTGTGTGTGTGTTGGAACCTACTGGGGACATGTTATATTTTGAAGTGATTAAACTATTTAATTGTGTGTCTATATTTTGGAATGGAATTATTTCTTCATTAAAAAGATTTTTAAAAGTACCTTATGGAGTCTCTTGTCTGTGGCGCGTCCCGGTTACAGTATTCCCGTTCTATGGAGCACCATACTTTTCAGATGAAACYGTTTCCCTGTGGTATAGCCAGCAGCCTTTGCTTGGTCCACGTTTTTCCTCCTCCATCTCCCCATCTCCTTCCACCGCCTTCCCCAGCACTTGGAGCGTGGCAGGGAGCAGGCCCTGCCTTCCAATGGCCCACGCAGGTTTCTTCTTTCTTCTTATCTTCATTCTCTGTAGCTTCACAGCCTGCAATGAAGTGACGCTCCCATCCACTTAACAGCAGTAAAAATCACCATAAGCAGAGGGATTGGGGGGGCTTGTCCCCAGAAAGCCCCCCCAAAGCCTCATCTGCAATGCCATCATTTTCCTTTCCTGCTGTGTTTCTCTCTGTCCCTAGAAGGCACAACAGGCTGTTGTTGAGCATTTTAGCATGAGCATTTTAATGACCTCGCCATTCACACACACATTATCTTTTATTGCAAGCAGACTTACAGTCTGTGTTTTTCCGGTTGCACTTTGTAGACGATGTCTTTCCTTATCGCATGCCGACGGTTACAACTGCTTGCTCGGCTGAAGGAGCAGGGAAAGAGCTGAAAAAGGAAGCAAGGATCTGCTACCTAAGGCAGCAAGTTGGCCCTGCGGCGTGGGGCTGATCCAAGAGCCCTCGGGGGAGGCCTCGTCCCTCAGCAGCCAGAGCCTCCCTTCCCTCCAGCCCCCGGGACAAGTGCACGTTTGGCTAGACAGTCTTGGGAATCTACCCACCAAAAATACTATCTAATTTTTATCGCGTAGTTTAATAGCCGTATGCAGCAAAAAGATAAAGCGCAGCCTACTGCCTCCTCTCACTAAGCTGACTGCTGCGGTCACCTATAAATCACCAGGGTTTATTTGCCCTAATTCTCCTGTCTAGATGGAGATTTTCTTCAATAAAGACAATCATTTTACATTATAAATTATTTGCCAGATATGCTGAACCTTGCCTCTACAATCCCAGGCCAAATCCATATCCACAAATTGTAATATATGGTGACATAYCACCAGCTCACGAGGATAACTCTGTTTTATCCCAGTATAATCCCAAATTGCTGTGTTTCCTCCTGACCCACAGTYAGCCTGTGGCCATTTGGGAATAAGAGGAGCCAGTGGTAACTAATTTATAGGCAAGGGCTGTTTTCCTATTTGCTTCACAGTTACTCTAGCTGCCTTCTGTTCCCAACAGGAAAAACAGACTCATGAAGGAAGGAATAAATTAATTTTATTTGAAAAAAACAATAGTATCTATCTGTGAAGCAGGCAACTTGGCTGCATCAGTGCTGAATTATGTGACTGAAATAGCTTTCAAAATAGCTACATAAATATAATAATACTGAAAAAAAAAAGACCTTCTAAGAGCTATGTGAAAGCTATTTTTTCAGCAGTACACAGATCTCTGGCTGCTCTTCTACAGTTTGTTGCAGGGGGCTGATGCTTTGCAGGGCTCTTCCAAGCAGCCCTTCCTCCTGGGCAGAACATTTGGAGGCTGTAAGAGGATCCAGGAGGGGCATGAAGCAAAGCCCATARGCTCAGAAATAGGTTAAACGGGTGGGAAAGGAAACCGGATCTGCTGTTCCACATGAGGGAATACACCGAAGAATTTCACGGGCTTCAAGATCCTCTTATGGGAAGCCCCGGATAATCCACAGATGAAAGATTCTCCCTTGTTTCCTGGTGAATAGCTGCCGCGCACCCCTCGGCTGCGGATTAGCACGSATACCCTGCCCGGCGAGGAGAGCGCCAGCGCGCACCCGCCTCCGACGGGAAAAGCCGCAGGATGAGGCTGTGGCTTCCCAGCTTCCCGCTTCCCCATCAGGGTTACCAGCCATCCATTCCCTGTGGCAAAGACGCGCCCAGGCTGGAATGAGCCTGTTTTTAATGGCCTACAAGTCTGGAATTCTCTAGGAAAAAGCCGGTTTGGCGACGTGCTCCACCCAGGACAGGATAAGGATCCTGGAAATTTATTTGGCTGTTGCCTGGACAAAGCACTGGAGGAAGCTGATCTATTCAGGGCTTGTGGAGCACATCTTTTCCCATTGATCTGGTGAAATGAAGCTACATGTTGAAGGTATTTTCATTTAAAAATGAGGGARGAAGAGGATATGGACACCCTGCTTATGGAACAAGAGGGAGACAGGAGTAGCAGCAACTGGTTATGTACTGATTTATCTGAGGGAAGAAAATGGAAAGATGGAGTGTGCAGCTGAAGCAGGAGGTCGATATGCAGCGGACAGCGAATGTTTGAGAGAAGTAACAAGGGAATCRTGCTGGCACATCAGGCAAACTCGGAAACAAGATGACTGACACAGCTTGAAGATAATGATGACTAGAAAACAGCGAGAAAGAGCAGGTGCTTTTACCCAAGCAGAAAAGGCAGAAAGGGCAGGCGCTCTCGCAACGCGGCATGCAGCGTGGTAAAATGCAGCTTGCTAATTCACTGCTGCTCAGTTTAGCCCTGCCAAATGGATTTCCTCATGCCTGGCTGTTTTACATAGCGCTCGGCGGTGGCAGATGGCAGCTGTGCGGGGCTGCTGCTTGCTGCGCTGCCGGCCAGCGACGCGGCGCCCGCTCCCGCCGCGGCTCC